GATCAGTTACGGCATCATTATGTGGGGCACAAGAACAGCTACAAACTACAAGAAACTAATCATTTTGCAAAAAAAAAAAAGAAATAAAAATACTACGGATATGTGGAAATTATAAAGACGACATAAGGTTTTTAAAACCGCAGACACTCTTTGTCAAGTATAATATTCTCAAGGCAAATCAAATTTATTATTTGAACAAAAAAAAGCGGACAAATAAAAATTCAGTTTTAAGTCAGCGATTGTCGTGTACATTCCTCTCACTCGTTCTTCCTCTAATTTTTGCGCTTTTGGCAGCAGCGGTGGGCAGGGGGCACGCCATGATGACCATAACGCTGCCGTCAGTGCCATCGCCATACTTTATATCGCCGCAATCGCTATAAATAAATCCCAGTTGAGTGATCTGCAATGAGATATGCTGCACTACAGCGAGAGCATGGGGCTCCTAACAGCGTTGCTCAGAGCCCTGCTAGGTGGCGCAAGTCACCGCACAATTCAAAGAGCGCTGTTGTATTTATTTTTCTGCTCATTTAAATTAAGTTCGGTTATTTCCATGACCACACTGATTGGCCACCGAGTGGCGAAGGGCTCGTAGCCAATTGGTGAGCTGCAATCGGCTTACATACAATTCTTTCGCGGAGGCATCACGGTAAAAAGGCAGCGGCCTTTGCGAAAGAGACAAGGAACGAAATAGCGCGCTCTTATCTTTGACATTTCACGTTGCGAATTTCTTTTCCGGTTCCGCACTATCGTGTGTAGCTTTGTTTTGACCCATTAAGTGATATCCGGTCACTAAAATTTGTTCTCACGACCATAAAAGTTTTAGTTCATGGTCCTTTTAAAGCTCTCGTGTAATAAACGGGTCTCACTTGAGCATCTCAAAAGTTGCTTTGTTATTCTCCCCCGGATATTTAACGCAGCCACAATGCAGAGCGCACAAGATGAGATAAAACTGAAAATACAAATGCAGCGCGTTTTGATCACATGCTTCACTGAGAGGCGTGAGAGTGACTGGTGCGCAACTCGGATTTTGACATTTTATGCGCTTTTTTGTAACATACACCATACGTATCTGAACGGGGAAAAAAACACTTTCAAATGTGCTGAAGATCACGGGACTCCGCGGGAACACTCTGTGCGCAATTCTTCAAGCTTACGAAGTTTCTTTTCTTATTTTCAGTGTACAACCACTTTTTTTTTTAATAAAATGGCATTATTTAAAACTCAGCACATTAATCATATTGCAAAGGTTGATTTTCTGATTTTTCTATGCTATAAAGCATAGAAAATTCGAGTTTCCTAAACAATCCCCAATTTCTGCGTTTAGCTCCCGAAGTTACCCTGCGCAATTGCCGCACCTCTCAAAAATTAGGCTAAAAGTAGGCGTTAATTACGTGAGTAAATGCGGTATGTTCCGCAGCTGCTGCCGAGCAATCGCATGACACACACCTTGTTGACACTGGCCAGCTATACGCAGTGCCGGTGGCTGGTGTGCCATTGCGGGAGATGTCTTACATACATTCTTCATCTCACCTTAACATGGACTAAACAGAAGGGCTAATTTAGCCCTTCTGTTTAGTCCATGCCTTCAGAGGGGTAATTTAGCAGCAGGGGCATCAGCAAAAGCTACCGGCTCGGACTTGTTAACATCACCAGTTAGTTCATGCTACGAGTAAGACGAAGTATATTGTAGTCACACCTTCACTTCCATTCTGCATGACGAAAAGCTTTACCATGTTCCTACGGATAAATCGGATGACGTATTAGGAGAAGCGTGTCACCCGAGCAATTAAAAGCTCGCAAGCTTAATTATAAGGCTGGCAAATCTCAGTAGACACACTGCTCATTCTTTGTCATTCGACTATACCCTGTAGAATCAAGGTACACAACGTTTTGTTCCCCGGTTGACGTGTGTGACTGTGGATACACGTCGACAAGTTCACTAAGGGCAGACGCCAGTGCACGCGTGCATTGGCTCTGTTTCTTGGGTTTGTAAGACGTTCACTAGAAGTTGGAGAGCTCTGTTTGCCTTGCAAGAGAGAGGGATAAAATGGAAAGAAGCGTTCTTCCCGTCTGTAGTGTTTGGCTAGGAACAGAGGCTACGTCCGAAGACTGCGTAAGGGAACCGACTCTAGAGGAGCACTCTTCAGCCTCCTTGACCCTGATAGCTCTTCGTATCCTAGCAAGTATAACAGCGTTTGATGCCAGACGATCTGAAAGCTGCAGCTGCAAACGTGTCTTCCAATGGATTCTCGTACACACTGTAATTGGGGACAATGAACGCGCTAATGCTCTTGCTCAGAAGCTTATTGAGGTGATGACTTCCTTACAGTCTTCCTTCACAGGCTAATCGAGGCTGAAAGTCTAGTCAAGGACATCATCCAAATACAGCACCCAGATCCCGAGACTGTGACAAGATGACCCCCTACACCAGTACCACGCTGCATTCAAGCGTGCTGATAGCGCTATGCTACACTAACTCTGAGCAATCTACATCAACACTCATGCCACCCTTCACCAGTAAGAAAAAGTGGACACACCAAATCGGCGAAACATGTAAAGCACCAGAGACTCTGGATCACTTATTTCTGGTAGGCCTGCAGTTTTTGGCCCCCCGGAAAAACCTCACAAACAAGCTGTGCTAGGATGGATTTTCTCGATTCATGCTAAAAAAACTTGACATTCTCCTCGGGCCCTCCGAGCAAAATGCAGCCCGAGTTTACAGCTTTACTAAGCTTCCTTAAGGAAAGCGCTCTCACAGACCGAATTTAGAATGGTCCTGTGTGTCATCATCAGACGGTAGACTCTAGAACGTATTATCACCATTCACCGAATATATCCAATGTCTCTACCCTTTTTGTCCCACTATCCACCTCCCAGCCAGGGGCCCTAAGTTGGGCGACGGGACAAAGGGACGAGGACAACAGCACGCGCCATGATTGGATGGCGTTAAGCGTGACCTTGACTGCCTAGCAGAGCCTCCTTTGATTCTAGCCACTGGAGCTTTCTCTCTCCTCTCTTATGTTGACGACCACCCCCTTCAGCGGTGACGTCACACAAGTTGGCGATAGCGTAGCGCCAGGTGCCCCCACATTCTCCCTAGCGCTCCGCTGAACGAGGTTGTGAGCGTCTGCTACGGTCATCTGCTACATACCAAGGGACGAAGCCAAAGTCGGACACGTCGGAATCGCAGGTTTCGCCGGCTAATCGAGAGGCAGTGATAAAGTTTAGAGGGAGAATGCCCGTTATGGTGCCGGTAGTTTATGAGCCGTCAGTAGAGGTCTCCAATAAGGCTGACGACGACATGCTGTGGGCACAAGTCATCACCCGAGCACGCCATCAGCCCTGCAGTAAAGGGCCGGGTTGTGCCACAACTCATCGCACAGCCATTGTGCCACATTCTTCGAGAGGCGGTAGTAACGGCGAAACTTCTTGTTGGAAAGGTCGAAGGCGTTTGCTTGACCGTAGAACCGCCGCCACCTTCGAAACACAGAAAGCAACAACGCCACCATTGCCGCTTCGGAGCCTTCGAACAGATGGATGAATGGGATAGATAGATAGATAGATACGGCGTAACCATTGTCGTACTAATTTGTTTTACAAAAGCTCTCACTTCTAGTACCAGGCATGCAGGATAATGGGAGCTTTCTGCCAACCAAATTGGAGACCGTTGCAACAAGCGGATTTCTTTTCGAAGTTGAAAATGTATATATATATATATATATATATATATATATATATATATATATATATATATATATATATATATATATATATATATATATATATATATACATACATATATACATACATACACACATACATACATATACAGGGTGCTTCACGAAAGGTGGACAAATTTGATAATGAGAAAACTACGCGTGGCAACAAAAAAGGCTTGTGTTGTTTTGGTCCTGGGCCAGGGGCCTATTTAGGAATATTATTAAAGTCCGGGATAATTCGATTGTTAATTATTCTTGCGTAATTAGCTTTTTTTAATATTGGATTTAAGGGTATGGTTTCATTTAGGAAATCGCTCAGCATCATCAAAAAACACTAAATCAACAAATTGCAGAACGATAGAAGGCACGCGAATGCATTTTACGGCTTTCTGAAAAACCGTACACATTCGACGGGTTTTTAAGTTTTGGTTCGCTAATGGATCGCATCTCGGCCCCGGCGGCACCGTGCCCCGTGGAGAGATAGTGCAACCAGCCTCTGCTGTGTCGCACAATGACAGCGCAGCAGAGGTTGGTTGCACTCTCTCTCCACGGCTAGGCCGGGGAAAGCCGCAATTCTGACCTGTCCGACGTCTTCTGCTTCGTCCCTTAGATTATGGCAGAGGGTCATATACCTTCGTTGCATACGCCAGTGGAGCACTAGGGAGAATGTAGGGACGCTTGGCGCTACGCGGTCGACAGTTTCCGTGACGTCATGGCCGAAAGGGGGATCACCAATGTACCGGTGGCTAGAATGTGAGGAGGCGCTACTCAGCTCTGACGTCGCCTGGCTGGCGTTCGTCCCGCCGTCTAATTTAGGGCGCCATGTTCATACATGCCCCCCCCCCCCCCCCCCCCGAGAGACTCCCAAAGAAATTGGTACTTTTCCTATCATAAATGAAACAACACTACCATCAACGTTACCAACATACATTGAGAAGACTGTTGAGTTCATTACTCGGTATTCGCTCCGTAGTACTCGCTGTAGCATCGTCGGGAAGTCAGCGGATATGTCATCTAATCGATAAAATGAACATTAATTTTCAGCAAAGCCGGCAGAGAAGCAGCCCGATTATTTCCCTTTCACACGTTCTGCATATTTGCGAGTTCACACACAGAGAGCGTGATTGCGCGAATTAGCTCACTCTGTGGTGGAAGGTTACCAGATGGCACTCGGATGTTTTAGGGGTCCTCTGCTCTATAATATGCACTTTGTGTATGGGCGCTCCTCAAAAATAAATAAATAAATAAAAGAAGCACACTTGAGCTTATAAATGTATCCTTTTAGGTTTTATGACAAAGGACAGCAGTGAGAAGGTTTGCGAAACTTGCATCTTCCTCCACAAACACCAGCTTGAATGCCGCCGCTTCTTTCACATTGCTGGACAAGATTTTCAGGGCTGCCACTGCCAGGTTGTCTGACAAACAAATTTAAAGGACATGACTTTACATGCGCAAGTATCCGAACGGGCAGTTGCACAAATCGCGGTTTCTCCCCAGATAAGCAGTCGAGAACCATGCAGGTAACCCTTTGCTCCATTTGTCCTGAGACTAAGAACAGTGCTAGCGACAATTACATGCTAAAGAGGATACCAACATCACTATTGTCCCGCTCAGTGTTGATAAAAAAAAAATGTTGGGTTGTGTGGATGTTCCAACAGTGCAAAGTTGGTCAGCCATTTTCAAAGATGTGACGAGCCTCTCGTTATGAGCAATCTAGCCAGTGCAGTACGACCCCTAGCATGGGGTCTTTAACGTGCATCATGCAGTAGTGATACACGAGCGTGTGCCGGTGCAATGCTCATCGAGATCGAAATGGGCAGAGGCGGGGATCGAACTAAGCGTTCCTAATTTCTTTAATGTGGCTTTCGCTCTTCGTGCTCCGAGCTGAGATGCGCTAGACCACTTGGTCACCGTTCCCCCTTGGTGTTGATAAAACGCAAAAGCATAATGAGTGGCTCCGTTGGCAATGGAACTCAAAAGGCACAATCGGGGGCACATTTGGGTCGCCGAAACCTATGTTTACTATACCTTATCCCTCCACAAAGTCACTGTAGACAAGGTTCACCCCAGTGGATTCCAGCGAGACTCCTAACTGAAAGAATATTGCATGAAGCTGCCCTAATGGTGTTCTTGGTAAGTCTCTCAGCACTTAAAAATGAAGTGAAATACATTAAGCTTACGTTTCGCTCATTTGCATTCAGTGTCCTGAGCCAAGATGTTTTCAACGTCTTGAAGGAGCTTTTGCTTGGACGACAAAATCTTGCGTGTAGGAAGGCTTATCACGCTTGCAATACCTTGGGCCATCGACTGCATTGGCTCCATCTTCATTTGTCTTTCGAAATATTTGATGAACTGAAAGTAAATAATGCATGTGTGTGTGGATGAATGTCACTGAAGATAAGAACATAAAACCAATATTCCAAGAACACCACATACTCTCAATTTTAACCCACTATAAATATTTCGAAATATTCAGTTACTTTCCTCACTTCTAACCTAAATAAGTTTTCCTGGTGCTTCTACAAACAGGGAGTACAAGTGGGTGTTTAGCATGCACGGCACCAGAGATAGACTGCCATGTATCTTGGAAACATGTTTAGTTTGTACAATGATTTTGTGAAGGCTAAAACCCTTCAAACTATAGCTACAAGCTACAGGTACACACCGCCTGGCAGTGTAGAATTCTATGTGGAAGCATCCCAGCATTCAGCTGCATCAAGAGATGTCCTGTTTCATAGTCCCAGTGCCATTTGCACAACATACAAAGTGGTTCAATACCAGACATCCTGCTGGCTTCTCAAGCAAAAAGACCCCCTGCACACGTGCACGGTGATACCGCTGCTCAATGGTATGCTCACACCCCACAGTCTTAGAGTGCTTTAACGAGAAGCTGCCTAAGTAGGAAACGTTTCGGTGAAAGGGCGAACAAGTAAGTACGTTGTAAGGGGAAGTATGGCATGCCACACAAGTAATACTTACCCTCCTGGCATCCGTAAGGTAGGGATATGTTTCCTTGACAGAAGGAGCGTCCATCGTTGAAAGGTTCCGAAGCCTTCTGCTCGCAGTGGCATCCATTCGCACATCAATCTGCTCTTCGTTCGGTGCCACCTTTTTTCCCTCGTTGCATAACCACACCTCGTGTGCCTCCAAGCTGGTGGCGTCTTCTCCCACCTCAGGCAAAGTGCACAATGTCTGTAAATACAAATCGTTAATATTTCACAGGATTTGGAAAGAATTAGAATGCGCTAATTGTGTTGTGAAAAATGTGCTGCACATTTCCCCGTACAATGTCTCACTAGTTGTGTGTAGCACAGGCGACGGTAATGCCGGGTGAGGGGAGAAAGGGAAAGCACTTGGAAGCCTGGGGAGGATCAGATAAACCTCCTACTTTCTCCAACGTTCTTAGGGCTCGCCCTATATTGTCCTCCTCTTCCTGCTGCCTTCCCAGGACCATTTTCATTAGTTCTCAGGGGCCCACCAGGTGGAGCAGCCTGTCTCGATGGCCACGCGTTCCGGCCTTCGGGTTTCATTCCGTGCCGATTGTAAATATTGGTCATCAGAATGGGAAGATGATTATGCTCTATAAATTTCATTTGGGTTGGACCGTAAATAAGAAAAAAAATCTCAAGAAGCAGTGTTCCCTTTTAACTGAAAGGTCTCAAAGCCTTTACATGCATGCAGTTTTTCTATGCATCTTTTGAAGAGACGGACTTACATTTAGAGGTGCCGTGGGTTCAGTGACAAATATAAAATGAAATATTTTTATATAATAACAGAATGAAGGAGTATAAAAATAAATTAAGCATAGTAAATCGCAATTTCAGCGGTTCATAGGCTGTTTACCGAATCATACAATAGCGATCAGCTTTTTAGCGCCAGTTGCGAGATGTTCGTAGTCTCCGCATCCGGGGGGGGGGGGGGGGGGGGGGGGGGGGGGGGTTAGTAGCTTGTTTTTGGAGACCTGATCCTGATACCGCCCCAAGAGCAGGCCTTGGAGCATGCTTGTAAATGGCAACTAGAGCTCCCGATAACAGCACTCAACAAAATAAACTCCCCAGTGTTAAACAAAAATTTAGATTGCAGGAGAGCTTTTTTTCTAAGTAGAATCAAAACGAAGCAGGCTTTTCTCTAGATCCATAATAATTCGGGTGAGCTTTTCTCCCGGTTTCGTTTGAACACCACCCACTTGGTGATTTGCAAGGGATGGTTCCATCAATCTTCTAAGAAGCACAGCCTTACTGTTTGCATTTTCTGGCAAAATTAAGCCTGAGCAAGGAAGAAGATGGTACAGTCAGCCAGGCACATAGCCAGGATTTTGTTTCGGGGGTGGCCCGCCCATGTCAAAATGCTGTATGGGGGAGAGGGTAGAGGAGGGTCCCAGCAAAATGAAAAATTTCGGGGGGGGGGGGGGGGGGGGGGGGGAGGGCCGGGCCTCTCCCCTGGATATGTGCCTGCAGTCAGCCCCTCTTACGTTACCTAGATGACAGAACTCACTCAGCCTTCAACCTATGTAGGCCGTAACTGTTTAAGAATAAATGAAGACTCACAGGTTGCTCCATCATTCGCCTGGATCTGTGAAGGCTCTTCTACCCGCTGTGACTGCTGCTTCGATGCCGGAGCAGAATTACTAGGACCGTCACTTGAACAGGAGCTTGATGGGGCCTGTGGGGCTGAATAACAAGAAACATTAGCAGCAAGAAGTCCTAGCTGGGCACCCTCAATTCCTGTCACAACACTAATGATTACTGCTGTTTAGTGAATGCACAAACACTACTTATGCTTCCATTACTGGAAGATCATGGAGGTTGTGGATTTGTATAATGCCTAGCCCAAAACATACTTAAGAGAACAAGTGAAATATATATAGTGTATCAATGCTGCAAAGCCACAAATAAAAACAAGCATCTTTCCTCGTGGGCATGCCTTTTGGTGCGAAAAAAAAAGAGAAAGGGTTGAAATCACTCTAAAGCAAGGTCCTGAGGTATGCTGCACTGCACTGCATCTTTATTTATCACGTGGTGCTCGCGCTCTTTCGGAAGCTTCGTATGGCGTCTAAATGTTAACTTATTCATCTTTGTTTGAGGTATAACAAAAAACTAAGATTAATAGGTATCTTAGAGCGCAAAGGAAACTCCTGACAAAGCGCAAGCAGACGTGTAGACCTGTGCGCCGGTCAGACGACGGTGGCGGCGCCCCGAAGCAGACGAACCTGTGCTGCGGCGCCGACGGCAGCGTGGAGAAACGCGTTGAAGCGGCGTTCGCACAACGCGCACCGTGCGGCGGCGACGCAGCACGGCGGGCGCGGGCCTACCACGTGACCAGCGGCGGCTCCCGATGGGCGCCAACTACAAACTCGTATAGCGCCGTAAATATAGCTCTAAAATTTTTTTTTTCTTCGTTGTAAAATCATTTTATGACATCCTTTTTCATTCTAAGCTGTTTAAAAAAAAAATGTTTTTTTTTTCCTTTGCATGTGTCCTTTAAAGCAGGAACAATTTCGACAGTGAGATTGTTCACGTAGAGAGCTCAGCTGGGCTGCTAAAGCATGTGATGCGTTTACGGGTCTAGGGCACAAGCAAAACTGATGAATAAGCTTCAGACTATGGCCATCACCTTGCAACCAAGATGAGGGATATTTTGGGCGTTAAAGGTTGTGCCCTTTCGAAGGGAGGGGACGGGGGTTTGTTGAAAACACTGAAGGCAAATATTATCCTAAAGAGCCCTTCAGTAAAATAGCGCAATAAATATTTTTATTTATTACTTACATAGTACTGGTATCTGCAGACGGGGATGAGTCGCCTCTGCTCTCATTTCTACCGGTGCTGCATTGTCTAGGTAGTAAAATATATATGCCCATTAAAATACAGTTCATTATTTCCCACCATCTTTCTATAAAAAATTTAAACTCTGATCACCGGAAATCTCCGAGGACTCAATGGAACATGTGTGTATCCACTTGGTAAGCTTTTTCTCCGCTCTTTGGTAGGTGCCTGTAAGGAAAATTAGATTTAAGTGCCTCCTTTATACAAACAAAAAAACCTGCCTCTTCATACGAACAAATTACAATGCGCTGCACTATAGATGTTTACCAACCGTATGCAACCAAGCTAAAAGCCAGTGGAAAATCGATACTTTCAAGAATCTACCCTCTAAGCTGGTATTATGTTACCAGCAGGAACTTTAAATTTTGGTAGGACCTGGACAGATATTTTGAGCAACTTTGCTCTTATTTTTTTTTACTTTTGTATGAGCATGGTAGATATATAAAGTCATTTTGAGCAAAGGACACAATTACTGCAGCAATCCATCGATGTGAAAGAGGTCTCCACTTACTATACATGAAGACTTAAAGCTGGCTGACACAGTTAATCGCGTTGAGTCCAACAGAGGGCGACTGCAATCGCTTGTGACACTTAAGATAGCGGTGTCTGCGAGAACATGCCTATGGCAGCATTACCAGTGCATTTGCCGTTTTAAAGGGGTACTGAAACGAAAATTAAAGTTTAGCTACCGTATACTCGTGTAAGGACCGCACTATTTTCCCGATTTGAGGGCAAATTTTCAAGATGCAGCCCATACACAGATAAAAAAAAAAAATCTGTATCCACATTTCAAAATGAACGTACATGAGCGCGCTCGGCTGCAATGGTCGGAAACGCCTCCACTCCGGTATCCGGACTCAATCGTCAGTCGGACTTAATTAGTTTACATACTGCACAATACATTTTTTTCCTTTTTTGCCGTATTTGATAGCATGCGCAACAACTTTCCGCTCGAATCGCGTATGACTGTTGAAGTGGTACTTGCCCATAGCTCTCAGATTGCGCGAAAAGGCAGACAAATCGCGACAATTTGACACGAATCGAAGAACAAAAGGATACCTACCCAGAGCGTACAGTGGCGTTCGGAAACCCGAGTGCACGCACAAGCCCTGCCCACCGAATTCCCATTCCTCACGCTTGCCACGTAACCTGACATATCCTTTTCTCAATGCTTTGCCGCAACATAAACGCATCCCGACAGTGCGGCCGACCACGATCGAGGTCGACAGCCATTGTGCCATACGGTGATACGGATGAGTGGAGAGCAAATATCGGGGATGCGGACACGTGCCGCTATGTGCTCGGGCGGTGGCTAGCGCCACGTAGCCATATATGTTCATAGAAACGTGGTATTACAGTCGGCGCGCCTCGAAAGCGAGGGGGTGCAGCCCATACACAAATAGTTTCTGTAAATATTTTTTTTTTGCAATACTTTGTCCTATATACGGGCGTACGACTCTTACACGGGCGCAGTCCTTACGTACAATTATACGGTATTTTGTTCAGAAACAGGCAAAATGCGATCACTAGTGTACGTAGATGACAATGGCACGATGGTATCTTGAGCGGGTCGGTCTAATTTCCTTTCCAAGCGCCACAATCTTGCTGGCACTCGATGAGCGGCGGTCGGAGGGTGCAATGCGAGCTGGGATGTTCAGTGATATCCATGATGTCATAGCTCCGAGTACGGGCAAAGCTACATGGAGGCTGGCATGATAATCACGTTTGCCACATGAAGGCGTCAGCATGTTGCAACTCAGCCGTTTGAGATAACCAAAGCTCAAGAGAAATCGCAACCCAGCGAGAGCTCCGTGGCTCCGCCACCCAGCGGCCCAGGCGAGATCGCAGCGAAGGCCGAGTCAACCAGTCGAACCGTGTGTGTGTGCGTTGTGCACTGCGATCTGAACCACTTCTTGTGGTGTGGTGTTCTCGTGTTTTGTGTTGGTGTGCGACGTGACGTCCGTGTGCTCAATCAAGCGAGTCTGTGCAATGCAGCGCAAGGAGGGCTCTCTGAAGATGTGATAGGCCTAACGAACGTTGGACCCGCTTGTGCAGAGAGCTGAAAAAAGCCTGAATTTCGAGGACGTGCGCAACGTAGACTAACTTGGAATTAAAGACAACCCCACACATATGCAAAGTGTTATCATGCGCTAGTCGTGCATATTGGCAGCTGTTCCCACTTTGATTGTGCCAGGGCCGATTCCATAACCATGGCTCAATCGAACGAGTACCGAAACGACTACCTTGGTGCTAACGATGTCAGCGAGGACAAGGATCCTGCTCTCTGACATGTTTTCGGAAAGGAGATCTGGCCTTCAATCATACGTCTACGATCCCTCTGTTTCGTCTTCGTCCGACCTTCGACATGCTCATTGAACATGAGTGCTAGCCAAACACTGACGCGGCACTCGTGCCTAATCATAGTCCACGATCAACCTCAGTGTAACTATATCGATCTGAAGCGGTGCAGAAACCTTGTCTATATATGTTCCATCTCTCAAGTTGTGTGCAGCAAAGCAAAAGCATGGGCATGAGGTAGTAGATTGGTTCGCCGTGGCCAGCTCTACGCCGACTTTCTCTACCAAGGTTTAAAAAAAAATCGCGTTCAAGCCTAAGCAACCTAAAATGGGTAAGCCGCACTTCCGCAGACTTCGTCGGAAGTCGTTGCATCACATGCTGCTTTTGCAGCATGTGATGCAACGACTTCCAACGAACCTTTTGAAGCATCCACGAAGTGTCATTTGGTTACTGTTGAATTATTTTTAAAATTCCTTTTGGTGTTTTTTTTGATAAAATATAGGTCTTTGAGAGGTGATACCACTGCCTAGCGGACATGTAAACAATAAAATGACTGCTAGAATTTTGTTTCCGGATCCCTTTAAAATGCAGTGGGAAGCAGCTGTGATTGTGTCTACATGCATTTTGAAAGAGTAGATCTGCCATCTCGCAAAGGCAATCTTGATTTAAGCGTTTCAGACGGTTGCAGTCGCACTTAACGCTACTGTGTGAACCAGCCTTTATACATCAAGACATTAATTCGTATCTCCATTCGTATTAAGACATTAATTCCTATCTCCGTTGTTTCGAACCATAAACTTGTTGTCTAATGTGAATCCCCTTAGAAGTGTAACAAATTCTCAAAATCACTAACTATGGAATGTGCTAAGTTGTGATAATCTGGTGTTTCAATCCAAATGTCATGTACTTGGTAGTTCTGACCCCCTTTTGGAGTAATAAAACTTGTAATCACAGTCATGCAGAGAAGGAGAGAGAGTATATGCACAAATTACTTGCTCGAAGTTCCCAGTACATCAACTGAAAAGGGCTCCCACCCTTCCTCCACAGTGCCTGGTGAAGCCTCCTGCTTGGCCAGGGCCGGAGCATCCAGGCCTGCATCTTTTGATGGCCAGTGGCAGATCGCACGATTTTCCGACAGCCATGAAAGGGGCACGGCTGCCACACAGTCTTTTTCTTGTGGAAATTTCACCACCGCAAATTTTTTCATTCTGTACAGGGAAGAAGCAGTGAAGATAGGCGTCATGTTTACTAACTGCATATCCTGTTCCAGAGCTCCCCAAGGAGCAGCGCATGCACCACCTGTCACAAACAAATATGGACCCAGGTTTGCAGTAACAAGTGGCCCTGCCGTCAGTCGTCACATATTATTGCGGCTAAGGTATCACAGCCACCATGTGAATTAGGATACTACTACCAATACGATCTGCCGAATGCCCCACGAAAGTGGACGAATGCTGAAGACGAGATTTGCACTCGTCGTACTAAGCTGAACTTCCCTTCATTCGCAAATACAACAGTCGGTTATGGTACGTTCAAAGTGCGGGTGCAACACCCCAATGTTTCATAAGGTACACAAATGAAAGTGCTACATGCTTGACTGTTTCGCTCGCACAACGCCTGCTCGCATTCTATAAGAAACCGTTACGCTTATTGCCCACAGACCAGCGCATTGCGCCAACAGCCAGAACATACTCTTAGAAAGCGGCCTTTATATCGATACCGCCAAAACAGGCTGCTTTGGCTTGCAGTGTCATGCACCATATAAAGCTCACAACAAAGCATTAAAAGACGTTTCATTTAAATATTTTTTGCTCTAGTGATACTGCAAGCAAATAGCTGCTACCGTACCAAGGCTCAATTGTAAAATTACAGTAAAACCTCGTTATAACAAAACGGGATATAACAAACTAATGGATATAACAAAGCAATCATAATTCCCCTTGCTTGCTAATAGTGGGAAGAAATGGACATTGGCTATAACAAACTAATGGTTATAACGAAATAATTACGACCGCTCCTTCAACTTTGTTATAACGAGGTTTTACTGTAGAAAGAGAAATGCAAGCTTGAGGACTCGTGTAATTTTTTAGACGTTCTTCGAACACAAACGTGTGGACTCCGCCATTGTTCTTGAAGAGAACGCGAATGCCTCGCGCACATCAGCAGGAGTTACCGTGACGTCGATCGCGGCAGTTGGTCGTGGGTAAGGGTCGCTACATTCTTCGTTAATTTGCTTACATTCGAGTCTCTTTGGGTACTGTTTTGGTCTCTATCAACTTTGGCAGTGAGAAGGGCTAAGCCCCTGATGCGGCCATTTAAACCAAATTAATGTAAACGTCTGAAGGCACCAAACTGCCCAATCTTACCCGAGACGAAGCGCCTCGAGCATACTCTGTACTTGTCGAAAGATGCGTCGAAATCATTCCCGTTGACGCGTGCGAGTCATTAGAGTTTTCTTCTTGGAGAGCGAGCGAGTCCGTCCGCCTGTATTCCCGAGATATTGGAAAAGTAACACCCAGAATCTTCGGAGGTTGCTCTCCCCATTTTTCGTTTACCCAGTCTTCGTACGGCAGCCAAATGTCACGCACAACAGCACACTGGCCCTGTAGTAGCCGATTCACACGACGGACTGAATCGCGATTTTCGTCTGCGGACCGTGTACCACATGGCCGGCACGTCACCGATTCCTGCGATCCGCTCCTCGTCACGAACTGATAAAGTCGAGCGCCTTTTTCACGAGCAGGTCTTTGGCAGGAGATTGACTTGAAAGCGTTTAGTCTGGCAACGGCATATGAAAATTAAAACAAAAATGGCGCATTGTTGTGTTTTCTGTGTTCGTTGGTTCATTTTGTCGCGCATTTCCTGGCTGCACATGTGAAAGAAACTGCCCAAACTTTGTTCGGCTGACGCGACGCAGGTTCCGGATCTCCTCCGGGTCCGTGTCAAGAAGTTCCCGTCAAAATTCGTCTAGTACACCGCGATAATCCTTGTATGTCAAGTCGGGATTCCACCGAGCAAGACCTCTCTTGTGGCTGTGGTGTACTTGAGTATTATGCACGGGCGCACAGTGCATGAAGGCATCTCCAAACGCCCCTCCGCGAACCCAGAACTTCTTCGCTTCTATGCCGAACCCTTCTTGAACAGGACCATGCCTGTGTCACTGTCATGCTTTGGGTTAGCAAGGCTAGTGGCGCTTCGCAAGACGCCTATGACGACGTTTTGTCTCGATCTGTGCGTAACGGCGGCGTACGATTCTTTATCACGGTGGCCAACGTTGCTTTCTCTCTTGGACAACGGTGCCATGTTCGAGTTTAGCGGCACTGTGGGTGGCGAACAGGGGCCCTATGTTGCACTTTTTGGACCCCCACGGCGACTAGGGAGAAGGAAGTGACGTCAACAACGCAGCAAACGCGGATTGGATGTTGATGAAGAGTCGTTGATGAAGAATTTCTGCAGAAGAAACACCCAATCTGCGTCAGCTGCGTTGACGTCACTTCCTTCTCCCTAGTCGCCGTGGGAGTCCAAAAAGCGCAACATAGGGCCCCTGGTTCGATCCGTCCTCGCTGGCGTCTGCTCGTCGTCACCCTCGCGTGGATGCGCTTGAGAGACGGACGAACTAAAGCCCCTGATAAAGGCGTTTTTTACAAGTACCGCCAACCATTGTTGTGGAAACGCGCGAGACACGTGCCACGAGCGGGTACTCCGCCGCCATTCGCTTTCAAGAGCCGCTCATTTGAGTGCTGCGCCGCCATTTGCTTCCAAGGACCGCCCGAGACACGGGCCACGTGCGCTCGCTCATTTGACGCTACTTGCAAGACAAACGGAAGCATATCGAGGGGCTTTAGAATGAACCGCGGACAAGTCGTCATGTGATCAATTCGTCCGCGAATCAGTCTGTCGTGTGAATCGGCCTTAAGCTGTGGTGTTGCCTGAACCACACAAGAATCGCCAGACTGCGCAGTCGCGAAAACGCGGTCAGCATGGGGCGGTTTTAGACCGGTTTTTCAGCCTCTTGCGACGTCTTAGGACCATCTCCGCAGCAGCGCACCCGGTCCTAAGACGTCGCACAAGGCTTAAGAACCGGTCTGCTCTTTCTCGGTCTGATATATGTGAACGGCGCTTAAGCGCGACCTCGTCGCACAAGTGAAAACATTGGCTGTACAAAATCCCGTGCAGAGGAGCAGCTGTCAAAGCCTGGAGCCATTCGAGGCCGCGCTTATATTGCTCCGACCCGAAAACACGGCGCGGCTTTCCGCTTGTTGAAACGCACGAGGTAAGGCTTAACCAAAAGTGTAAACCTGCAACATATTAAGTAAGAACTATTGTTGAAACGCACGAGGTAACGCTTAACCAAAAGTGTAAACATGCAACATATTAAGAATTATGTGCATGCTCACGCAGATAACGGGTCGCAGCGTGAACGTCGAAAACGAAGCAAGGAAAACGGTCGAAAACGAAGCAGGGAAAACGTTTGACAACTCGCTGACAAGGAACACACAGAACCCTAACGGCCCTCGCATCCGGGATCCGGGATGTGTTCTGGCCCGTACTCGACCACACCGCCACCTTTGCGCTAAAACACAAAATTTCATTATTGTAAAATCAAAGCATTTCTGAATGAAAACGTTATTTGGAGCAATAAAAACATTCCTAAAATACGAAATATGCAGTCGTAATTAACCGTAAGTTTGAACACGTTATGGGTGGGTGCTGTCTGGGCACTTGCTCGGCACACTGGGTACTGCGCCAGGAACTCTGGAACTCGTTCTGAAATGGTGTGTTTCACGCAGTTTCACGCGTTTAACTAATATATATATATATTTTTTTTTTCGTTTCTGGATTTCCGCCTTATGAAGTAATTTGTTTAATTGAGAAACCGTCTCCGACATCGAGTACATAAAATCGTTCTGGGTTGGCGTGCGGGAGAGTGGTATAGAAAGGACCGTGTCAATAAAGTTAGTAGCTGCGTTTGAGACGTCCCGTGTGTTATTCCCTTTTTCGTCCGCCGCCTCCGGCTTCCAAAAATGTAAAATAAAATCGTTTTCGTTTTTCTTTTTTTTTAACATAGACAGTCAGTTTTATTACAGATCCGAATCCAATCCACAATCCAGCGTCTGCTAACCTGTTGCGCTAAAGTCTTCCGCCTGCGCTGAATCATCCGTATGCCCGCTCCTTCGTATTTGCCGTAGTGTTAATTTTCTTACTTAATCTCTGCTTCACGTCTTTCGGTATGTTCTCGAAATATAAAAAAAAATATCGAACCGTCAAGAAGGAGTACGACGAGATCCTTGCGGAGCTTGGCGTCTTGCAACAAGCCGTGCCTCCACTTCCGCCACCGAAGTGCCCGAGCAACAAAAGACCACGAATTGATACCTTCTCGAACGACGCTTGCGCCAGTGGCAGCGGACCAGCCACTTTTTCAGGCATTGTTGATTGTGACGATGGCACCTCGGAACAGCCTACGGAGAACGACCCAGGTAGCAACAATGAAACTGCGCAGGCCATGTCAAGTGACGAGAGCTCTGGAGAGAGCGAGACGAATGAAGACGGGGAGCAGCGCTCGACCACTGCCTCCTCAGACACCTCCACTCAGTCCTCCGGGGACTCGGACGAAGAAGGAAGATGTTCTTATTTCGCTGGACCTTGCAATGATACACTTCCAGAGCAAGAACTTTCTGCAAGCGAGGAGTTCGCCTTGATTGCCGGCAGGCACCCCCCCAGCATGACCCACGCCAACATAAACGAGGTACTAGATTTTTGCCGTCGCCGAGAAATTCCCGACCTTCCAAAAGATGCCCGCACAGTTATGCGGACCGAACGTAAAGCGAAGCTAGATAGCGATCGTTCCTTTGCGCACTTTGGCTTCGAGGTAGGCATACGTCAAGCTTTGGGGACCGCACCTGTTCCACGCGAGCTGAAGCTCCACAGCAACGTTGATGGGCTGCCGTTATACAACAGTAGCCAGGTTAGCCTCTGGCCAATATTGTGCCGCATAACAAACATCAAGGCGTCTGCACCATTTATGGTGAGTGTCTACTGTGGCAAAGGGAAGCCGCCGAGCCTCCAAGACTACCTTCATCCGTTCCTAGAAGTCTCTCACCTCTCCTCTAATGGGATGGTAATCAAGGGAATCCACGTTGACGTCAGTCTAACAGCGATGGTGTGCGATGCCCCTGCCCGAAGTTATGTCAAAGCCATAATTGGACATACAGGCTACCATGGTTGTGAACGGTGCATCCAGAAAGGCCAACACACTGAAAGACAGGTGACATTCCCCAACTTGTATGCACCAGAGCGAACAAACGCATCATTCCGGGCCCAGGACGATGAGCACCACCCCACTGGCCTGTCTCCGTTTTTGACGCTCAATGTAGACATGGTGTCACTATTCCCGACGGAGTATATGCACCTCATATGCTTAGGCGTCATGCGCCGACTTGTCCGCAATTGGGTCTGCCAGGGACACAAGACGAGGTTGAGCAGAGAGCAACGAAACCGCCTCAACGAAGGACTACCACAGTCAGCCATGTCCTTTCCATCGTGTTTCCACAGGAAGCCGAGAGGCACAGAAGAACTGGACCGCTGGAAGGCAACTGAGTTTAGGACCTTTATGCTCTATGTAGGACCAGTGCTTCTGAGGTCTTTGCTGACAAATAAGCAGTATGAGCATTTCCTGATGCTCCATGTGGCAGTGAAAATACTTATATCACCAGAACACCACACAACCTACAGCAGATTTGCCCGGGACTTGCTCAGATACTTCGTACAAGAGTTTGGTGGTCTTTACGGAGAGAAACAGCTTGTTTATAATGTTCACAGCCTCGTCCACCTTGCCGACCAGTGCCTGGA